TTCATCACTGCACTGGAGTCAATATGGCAACACGCTATTGGCTGAATGACAGAGGGGTCAGAGCTTGAGTCCCATTATGGACCAAAATTTTCTCCACATCATTCAGACCAGTTCTGAGGCCCACCCACCCTCCTATCCAGTGGGTATCGGGGGCTCTTTCCCCAAATGTAAAGCGGCCAGAGCATGAAGCTGACCTTAAACTAGTACCAAGATCAAAAAAACATACATAACTATACAACCACTCCCCCATGCATCTTCATGGTGTAGTGCTTAATTAAGCACAGTGGCGTTATATTTTTTTTATTGTCATTGCAATAGCTTCACACCTTTTTCTTTTGGAAATCAGTTTCATGTGACAAACATTCTGTTCACAGTAGTAAATGATAATGATTTTCCTTGGTGGTTAAAATGCTGAAGGGGCTTCTCTGCACACTTGGAACTTGATCACCACTCCAATATTCATTTTAAAGTTACACCAAAGGATCAAGTTTAATTTTTACCTTATTCTATCACATCTGCTAAGAGACAGAGAGGAAAATTTGTATGATTTTTCTGACATATTGTGGAGAATATTGTGGAAATTTTGTATTTGGTCATTCATGAAATTCTTCAGCACCCAAGAATGAATAACACCTATACATCTATACAGACACTGTTGGCATTGCAGTAACACTCTAGACTCATATTTGCAAGGTCCCTGGTTCCAATCTCAAGGCAGGACACCAGCCAGGTTTCTTCATGGTTTTTTTCAGTCCCTCTAGGCAAATTTAGAGTTTACTGCCTGAATCAGGCCATGGCCAATTCTAGATCCTTTCATGTTCATCTATCCTACCATTCAAGGATGTATAGCTACTGAGTCTCTCCTAGAATTACCCACAAAAAAACTAAATAGATTAAGGCTTCAAATTCAAGAAAAGAAAACTCCCTAAAATAGGAAAATGACTGGATATAAAGTGTTTTGAACAGTGAATCTCATATTAAATTTTATTATTTATATAAAATATCCTCTTATACATATTCTTACAAAAATACATGCTACAAGCATTAATAGACAGGTATATTAGCCCTTTTGACTGCCAAGCCCTGGCACAAAACTGCCTGACAGAACCACCAAACCTGTCTAGGAGTAAATGTCAATGCACAGAAAAACCCACACTTATTTCCTCCGATTACCTTCCAAAGACAACAGGTCACTGAATGACCATGAACACCTATTCTTTCCTCTAAAATATAGGCATATAACATTTGATGCCATTTATTAACAGAAATGCTGTGTGTACTATGTGATTAACAAGCGAATCCCTTTGACTGACAATTATAATGCCAAGCCCATATAACCCTTCAATGCCATCAGATTTACACAGAACGCCCAGTACAGTGATAATGTTCAGCTCATATTTTGAATTGTTGTTTTTCATGTAAATTAATTCTTTTGGTATGAAAAAAAAAGAAACAGTAGGCTATCATTTTGAAAATGTATTGTCCCACATCTGTCTCTAGCATTTGTATTACAATTGAATTCTTCATATCATAATTTTTATAAGCTTACTGTGCCAAAAATAGTTTTAAAGCAATGTGAACCAATATTCTGGTTCTATATACTTTTCATAATGCAGTGTGAAAATTAGAAGAAAAAGAAAGGTCTAATTTTTCTCGATTTATTACAGTTTAAGTGATATGCTGCATTTTCAGTTTTAAATATCCTCCTTCTGCAGGAGTGTGTTGGAATTAAATGTCCTATGTTGCTGAAGGGTAATCAACAGATGCCATGGAGTGGATTAACTTTCACTGCTTCCATCAGAATAGCTGATACCGAAATCAACCTGACTGGTTTAACATCACATATGAATGTCTGTCAAGTAAGTGACAAAGAATGTGTGATTTCCAAAATTTGACACTGAGTTATGTAATTTACCTACCAAACTTCATGAAAGGCAACAACATTTATTTTGTGAAAATATTCCAGGTAAATTGTTGGCAGTCTAAATTTCTAATACACAATATGTACGTAACAGTATGTCACACACAAGAAATGGAGACAGAACAAACATGTTCATTTTTATATTTTGGCATCCCATTGCACTGAGGCATTATCCTTATTAGAGTACACATCAATAATGTAACAATATTAAAGACATCAAGAATATATCATTCACTAAAAATGTATTTTAATACTTTATGATGTTAAAATCATTAAAATGTCAATAGGACACTAAAAGTATCTATCATAATCATAAAGTATTAAAATATACCTTTAGGGTCCTATCAACATTTTAATGATTTTAACACATTTAGGACCGGTCACATGATATCATGCTTTTGGCTTTTAAACGTGGCAGACCAGTCATATGATATCACGATTTTAGGACACGTTAGGTTGTAACACACTATATCTTTCTCTGGCGCCACCCAAATGAATGACTACTGCATAATTCCGGAATGTTTGCTCAGTAGGCAGTAACTTAACCTCGCTGTTTTGGTTCCCCTCCAAAGGAAAATGAGCTTTGACCCTTCAAGCTCTTATGTGCCAGGCAGGAAGTTAGTGCAATATATTTCAAGGACAGAAGAGGTTCAAGACCAAATGATCTCTCGGAGAACAAGAAATATCTAACTTGTTCTCCGATGATCTATCTGACGTGCCTTGTGAGAGGAGTAGTGAAAATGATTCAGACAGTGGCAGTGACAGGGGACAACAAACAGTTGTGGCCACAGACAATAAAAGCGAAAGTAGCTCCGACGAAAATGCAGGGACAGCCATATGGGGAAAAGTAGACAAAACGCCTACTTTCGGACAGTTTACTGGAAATCCAAGGGTGAAACAAATTCCATCAGACCCAACATGGTGAAACCACATTCAGGAGGAAGGGGGATATTCTTCTTCAGTCCTGGAGGGATACTCGTGTTGCAAATATGATTTCCACAATTCACAATTCAAGCATGGTTGATGTTCAAAGGAGATATGGACAAGGAAAGAAGCCTATTTGTATTTCTGAGTATAATATGTTCATGAAGGGAGTTGCTAGAGCCGATCAATACTTGGCCTATTATTCTCTTCCTAGGAAAACAATAAAGTGGACAAAGAAAGTTGCCTTGTGGCTTATAAACTGTGCCATTTTCAGTTCATTTTTGGTATACAAAAATCTAAACCCTGATTCAAAACTGAAATACAAAGCATTTCTGATGAATGTGGCAAAGGCCTGGGTTACAGACCAGATGGTGGCAGCAGAATGAGAGTCAGCCACAGACTTAGTGTCACCGGGCCCATCAACTTCCATCCCAGGCAGGCCTCATGTGGACCCCCCTGGGCGACTCTCAGGTGATATGCGGAAACATACCCTCGTGAAAATTGTGAAGAGTGAACATTCCAGGGGGAAGCATCCTTCTAGGCAAAGCTATGTTTGCGAAGTTCACAGAAAAAGGAGTATGACTGCCTACATTTGCAAGTTCTGTGTAATTCCACTTCACAAAGGGGAATATTTCCAGAAATATCACACTCTCGAGCACTTCTAGGAGCATTGGTAAGTGTTCTCCAAATTTTCAGTTCATAAAATTAATTAGGAGATTTTATATTAATTTTTAAAGTTAGGGTACTGGGTTTAAAAATCCGGTCCCCAGGGTGATTTAAATATTTAAATTGCCGGTCCTCAATGTGTAATCATAAAGTATTAAAATACATTTTTAGTGAGTGACATGTTCTTGATGTCTTTTATACTGTTGCATTATTGACGTGTACTCTAATAATGATAATGTTCCTTTTTATTAGTATATTCCATGAACATTAGGGGCCATGCGGTAGCATAGTTGGTTGAGGCACTATGCTACAAGCCAGACGGTTGTGGGTTCAAGTCCCGAGGTGCTCACTGGATTTTTCTTCAATTGACCTAATCCTTCTAGCCGCACTATGGCCCTAGGTTGACTCAACCTCTAACAGAAATGAGTACCAGGAATATTCTTGGGGTAAAGGGCAGCCAGCACATAGGGCTGACAACCTTGCCACCATCTACGAGCCGACTGCCTAGAAAACGTGGGAACCTCAACATCTAACAACCCTATGGGCCTCCATGGCCTGTTACAGGGATACCTTTACTTACGTTACGTACTTTTATATTCCATGAACATTACTAAACATACTGAATCCCGTATAACCAACAGATTATCAGAGATAAAGACTGATACAGTTAAAAATGTTTCTTTCACCATAACATCACTGGTATATTATTGCTGGACTATTTCACTTCACAAAAATAACACCAATTTATCATCATATATACTCAAATAGTTTACTTGAGACAAACATGATGAAAAATCTGATTAAGTTTTGTGCAAAATGAATACTTTTATTTTGAAAATACAGTAAACTTAAAATCAAAACCTCAGCCTTTTCTGCAAGATGCATGAAGAAATTTCAAGGATAATGTTCAAGCACAGCACTGATTTCACCCTGTTTCTCTTCAGTAGGCATTCCGTGTTTCAAGTCATTTTTCATCCAGTAAAGATAAGATTGGTGCTGGGAATGAACATTCTCCTGACAAGCATCTTCCGTAATCTGGGTTTATCTTGTTAGGCTACAGGCTTGTCAGTTCTGCTAGCTCTATGACTGTCCTTGGCCCAACTAGACAGGTGGGGTGACTGATATGTGATATGCAGGAAGCTCCAAGGTGATTGTGTCATAATTTATCATTGCATAACTCTCAAGGAGCAGAAGACATGTAATGGGAGAAGCTGGTACCAGATCAGTATAATTTACAGTTCTCATCCTGTCATAAGAGGCACTGTGCTACAAGCCAGAAGATCACAGGTTCAATTCCAATGACACCACTGGATTTTTCAATTGACCTAACCTTCCAGCTGCACTTTGGTCCTGGGTTGACTCAGCCTCTAACAGAAATGAATACCAGGAATCTTCCTGGTGGTAAACGGCTGCCAGCTGGCACATAAGGCTGACAACCTTACCGCCATCTGTGAGAAGATTGTCTACAAAATGTCTCACAACCCTATGGGTCTCCATATATTACAGGGATAGCTTTACCTTTGCCATCCTACTGTCATGAAACTTTTTTAAAAAACAAAATCTGCCTTCCCCAGTCTGTAGATGGATTTCCCTTCTCTATCCTTATAAAATTACATTCATTGAGAAAAATATTTTCAATATCAGACACCAGTTCTCGCATTTTTAAATTTCCAAACTTAGGAAAATTTCCTCCAGATCGTTTCATGCGTCGCACAGCAGATCTGTAACATTTCCATGGCTGTGGTTCAATAACAACCAAATTAGTTTGCACTGAAACACTAATCAGAAACTGTTTTAATCCCTCATCACCATAATTCAGATGTATCCACATAGTTACAGAAAAACAAAATATGCAATCAAAATAGTTCCTGTTCTGTTGTTTTAAATACAAAGAAATTGTATTCTCACTGTCACTCATGTAGTTGACACATTTATATGTGACATTTGATGTGAACTTGTTCGCCTCTTCTGCCCTCACTATCAACACAGGATCCAAATCTATACCAAGAATGTGGCAATCAGCAACTCCTTTCCCCTTTCCAGTTCTTTCTACACTTGAAGTGACGGAAAGATTTGTTGAAACAAACTTGTATAATTCTTGTGTCAAATTCTGTAAATAAGTTATTTAAAATATGAACTAATTCAGAACATAGATAGTACTGTAAAGGTAAAGTTGTCCCTGTACTTATCTAATTAAGCACTACACCAGGAAGGCATAGAAGAGAGTGGATGCATAGATCCATATTTTCCCAACCTCAGCACTAATATAACAAAATCCTAGAGGCCCTATAACAACCCTAGAAGCATAAATTAGGAGGTGGGATAGCACAGTCAGTACAGCAACTAGCTACAGGGCTGGACGGCTGAGGGGTCATAGTTCAAGTCCAGGTAGGATCAAGAATTTTCTCGCCTCCACATCGTCCAGACTGACCCTGGGACCCACCCAACCTCCTATACAGTGGGAATGGGGGGCTCTTTCCCCAGGGGTAAAGTGGGTGGGGATCTGAAGCTGACCACTCCCATCCAACTAGAGCCGAGATCAAAAAATGTTGATCTATACATCCACTCCTCCATACATCTTAATGGTGGAGTGCTTAATTAGTTAAGCATGGGTACAACTTTACCTTTTTTACCTAGAAGCATAAATATAGGTTCCTAAAGTGAAGGGGTTCTCACAGATATGATCATGAAAAGTTCTCTCTTCTGGAATGTGATGCTGTACAGTCCAGTTGATGTTCTGGAGGAATGTACTCCCTCTCTGCTTGCTGCATGTTTCATGACGGTTTCTTGCTCAACTTGCCCCTTAACATTGCAGATGGAAGCCACATGTTGCTTCAAAACCCTTGTTAACTTTCACCAAGCTATATTGCATTATATCCCAGAATAAAGAACTTGTTAATAGCTACCACTACAAGAACCTCAGATCCAACATGTAAAATAGAGCAATATCTGAACTGAACAAGTTAAGAACTTCCTAAACTGATTCTTCAGTTATTTTAATTATGAATATTTCATTACTATTCCCCTGTATTGCCACATTTTAACATTTTAATTACATTCAGGTTTCTATCCAATATACAGTTTGGAAGATGAAATACATATTTCAAGCCTTACTATCATGTATAACAATCATTTCATGTGCAAGACGGGTAGCAATAAATAATTTCTTCCCTTCCGTTTTTCCAATAGTTGGTTTCATCTAAAGTTCTCTCTCACATACTTCTGAGCATTCTGTGACAGATATAACACTCTCAAGCCAAAATCTGTAAAAAATTATGACTTTTATTTACAATATCTGAGGTTTTAATGGTAGTTAAGATTAATATCATAGTTATCTACATTATGACACCATAGTGTAGTCTGATATGTGGGTCACAATAATTCTGAGGAGCATACTGTCTCTATCTTAAGGGCAGAAGGCACTTCTATTAGAATAAACAGTGTCATTACTTAGACAATCAGAGTATGAAAGATTTTTGCTCTTTATCATCTTCTGCTTGTTCCTAGCATTTAGCATGACAAAACATAACGCCGTGTAATCCGGCGAATGCCGAGGCTATTACCGAACTACACGGGGTTATACTCTGGAAGGTGTGTACCTCTTCATATGCACAGCCATGGTAACCTCAAATCCAAAATGTTACGACATCCAAGCTATATCATATGATTCACGCTTTTATAAGTGCTGAAATAAATACCAAATTTATATTTACCCCAGAATTGCACCCTATATCCAAACATACAAAGCTCTGATCTGTTTCTGCGTTCCACATACCCGCTGGCAATAACTTCAATCTGTTTTCAGCATTGTTGAATTGATAATAATTAATAAAATTCCCATGTCTAACCGCGCCTGGGTCATTTCCTTTAAAATCCAAATCATCTGACATATTGCATTTTAATAAATTTCCTACAACAAAGCGAACTAACACACACTGCAACGGGCGCTCCGGACCACTCCTGACATCTGTTAACCATTAACACCTGCACATAAGACTACATATGACTTTGTTGCTTTGTTATACGGAGGGCACGGATCACCCAATATCAGAGCTAGTTTGTCAAAGTTCCAAAAAATGCAAGTAAAACATCTTTGCGATCAAATATTATGGAAATAGTTATGTTATTGCTAGAAACCTAGCATATTCTATCTTCACATACGGCGGGATACAATCACTCCATAATGAAGAAGAACGGATGCACCCAATGTTTTCTTTTCCCAACACTGTAGTTCTGGGATCGACTCAGTCTGACACGCCTGACAGAAATAAGCATCAGGACAAGTCCTTGCCAGGACTTGCAACTGGCATAAGAGAAAGTGAAACACGGTAACTACTGCCTCTATGTGTGGAGGCAGATACTACACACAGATCTCGACCAATTAAAGAAACTAAGCAAACGAATTTGAATTCCCGCAAATATATGCGGTTATGGTTGTTCAGTATATGTAAACTGGTAAATATGAATTTTGATTTGATGTGGTTGCGAAACGGAAGTTGAACGAAGTTACATCTCCATGTTAAACATATTATTTTTGTATATGAATGTTATGCTTACTGCCACAAATGAACATAGAAATATATAGAATTCCTTCAAGCCCAAAATTTTTGAGGTTATGAAGAACTGTAATTTAAACGATATTTGTTTTATATGTTCTACAACTTTCGGGTTAGCCAAAAGATTGTCTGTAGTATGAGAAGGCGTTGTAAGAGGACCGTGATGGTGTTATAATTTTTGTATTGCTTCTTGCTCTTGCTCTTCCCACCGGCGTATTAGTACCAGAAGTGTGTTGAAAGTAAGGTCGGTGAAAAAACCGAGGAAGCCTACATTCATTCATTCATGTTGAAAGTAGACCACCTCTATAGTCTAGTGGTCAGCATTCGTGGCTACAGATCAGAGGTCCGGGTTCGATTCCCGGAGCTACCAGATTTTTTTTCGGAGAGGTAGTGAGTTTGGAACGGGGTCCATTCAGCCTCGTGAGGATAGTTGAGGAGCTATTTCAAAGAAATAGCGGCTCCGGTCTAGAAAAACGAAATCAACTTCCGTGGGGATTCGTTGCGCTGACCAAGCGACACCCTCTTTCCGCAAAAGTTGGCACAAAACTTCGCCGACAAGCGGTGGTCGCTCGGTCGGAATAGTACGCTAGCGAATTAAAATCACTGAGATTTCTTTTCCTTGCAGTCTAAACATAAAAATGAAAATTTGCAGTACTGCTAGGTGCTTGTCATTGACCAGGCAAGGAGTCAAATTATTCAACTTTCCCAAGGGTCCGGCAGGGTATGTATGTTTCAATTCATGATGTAAATACTTATTATGTTTTGGTTAATCCGGCGAAGAAATTAAGTTTAAAATATGTCTGTGTTCAGATTATTCAACATAACCCAAAAATTTAGAATGTGCACTAAGTTTATAATGTTTACTGAAGAATTGTTTCTAGGTTTTGAGACTATTTGTTCTACTTTTACAGGGCTGCGGTATGGGCAGGAAGAGTTGGAATATCCAGCACTATGGATTCTGCTAGAATGCTGCACAATAAACATTTGTGCAGCAATTATTTCCTGGAAAGTGATTTGACTACCGTTGAAAGGGCATACTTCAGCAGAGTGGCAGTTCCATGTGGCTCAGATTCCGCTTCACAGTCACTCACACAACCTCTTGTCCCTTCCTTGAATCCCGTGCCCACAGTTGTAACTAAGGCCAGGCTATTTATGCGCTAAAAACACTTAAAACATGAACTTAAAATATACGCTAAAAAGTGGGAAAATATACACTTAAGAAACAGGTCACTCTGTTCAGACTCACCTATTTACATGCATCATTCACTGCAGAAAGTAACATCGCAATAGGCAACTAGAAGTCTCTCAAAGTTTTCTGGATACAATCTACGTCTAATGTCCGTAAAAATGAGTTTATAGGCTAAGAATGACATTTCTTCATCAACAGATGTGATAGGACAGTATTTATACACTGGCGCCGAAGGTTCGGAACATTCACCTGGCAAAGATACCCTAATTCCACTCAAGTACTGACGAATTGACTGAAACTTTTTTAGTCCTGGGTTCGAATTCAACACTATTTCTAACTTGCATTTAATCTTGTCTCCAATTTCACCTAGTGCGAAATTCAGTGAACAAGTTGCTTTCTGAACGAGTTCAAGTGAGTCGTGAAGGAGTGCACCGCAAGATTCTAAGCTCTCAGTGGCTTTTTGAAACTGCAGAAAAATGTGCATGGATAAAATTCACATCTTGATAAACAGTATCACTTCCAAACACGACTTTTGATTCACAGACACATGCATTCTTATCTTCAAGTTTTGTAATCACTTATTTTACTTGATTGAAATTCTCCTGATAAAATGAAACTGCGAATATCCATACCCCCCACCTAGTTAGGACAGTTTCAGGTGGCAGAGGAACCTGAGGTAGGGAATCTTTTTAGAACTGGACAAGAGTTGGTGCTTTCAGAAACAGTTTATTCCACTTGCAATTAAATCGTTAACAGCTGGAAACTGCGCGTATTTTTTTTTCTGAAATACGGTGTAACCCGTGCGCTAAACAGGTTACATGTATAACATTTGGATAAAATACTTGTAAGGCCTTTGCTGTTTCAACATACCGGAAGTTGCATCTGTGAGTAATACTAGCACCTTACAGCAATTATTCTCAATTTCAGGTGGCCATAGTAGTCACAGAGAATAATTTGCAACTCTTGTTATTGTGCTATGGTTCGTTTCCACTAGTACTTTGCAAGCATGAAGACCAGGTTTGTCGGGTTCCTCCGGGTGTAGCTTCCCAACTACGAAATTTGCTATGTATCGGCCACATAAATCGGTTGTCTCATCCATTGATATCCAGACACAGTTCCTTCCGATGTCAGAACGGATTGACTCCAGAGTAGATTCATACAGCAATGGTAGATAATTTTTTTCTAGGAGTTGATTCCTCTGGTATTTTTTTTAATTACACAATATTACTTCAGAAGTGATAACAGAACTGTATTGCTTAATTTATTCCATTGAATGTTGCTGCATAATAAAGCCTTACAAAAATCGCTGAAAACCTATTAACAGAGGACTTGGGTTTGACGTGTGTAAGCAGTTGTTGTTTGCTGTTCTTCTTCCCCTTCTTTACCGTAATATGTGCCGTCGTTCTTGGGTGTTCAAGTTGAAATTTCTTTTCGCATTTTACTTCCTTTCAGCAAACTTGACAGTACATGACGACACCGTCTGTTGAATAGTCACTATTACTAGACACCCACCGATTTTTTAAATATCTACTGCCGCAATTTTCTTTATGCATTATCAGTAGACGAACACTTTTTGATGTAGACTATTAAAGAAAAGAGTAACACATTAACTGAAAAGGTTTTTCTCAAGACCAACACTCTGATGCTACTGTCTGCTGTGGTTGTCAATGGAATGCAGGAAAATCCCACTCGCTCCCTTTCGAAATAGCCAAGTTACCTGCTTGTATTGTAAGTGGTAAAAGTGCCGTTACTCAGAGCTGAGAATAGCAACTGGCAAGGGATGTCCAAAACAAAGGTAAAACAGATTTTGTTAGAGAATATTGAAATCATCCTTAATTTCAAATATATATGCAGAAATATGCTATTACCTTTAGAATATGCAATAACGACCAAAAATTCTCATCATATGCATTTTCAACAACTTCGGGCCCTACTGATAACCGATGGTTGAACCGGTTGCGTCACGGCTGCTAGTAGACTAACTGTTGCCGTGTATTTTGTTGCAGGCGTACGTCAGACTAGGCTGATGTCTCGGAATGAACGGCTTGTAGACAAAATCAAAGTCAAAGTCAAAGTCATCCTGCAACTGACGGTCAGTCAGTCTGTCTGTCTTGGCGTCGAGCCCCAGATGTTTTCTTCTTTGTGAAAGTTGCTGTCCTGTCCATTTGGGGCGCCCTCTCTGACGAGAGGTCTGGTCGGTCATTAGTCAGTCTTAGTCAGTCCATGTCAGTATTGAAACATATTTACAATTTAATTCTAATTTAATTACTATTTTTATGTACAATATATACAAGGCCTCTGTCAATCCAGGCATTGTACAGCAGATTATGCCCTATTTCTAGTAGTAATCGCTACCACGGCAGTCTAGTCACGTGAACGGTCGTATGCCTGACCGCCGCCAAGTTTAAGCCTATTATACTTTCTGTGGCGGGCGTCGCCTTGTCCGATGTTGCGAACATTCTCTTTATCATGATTTTGTATGACTTCTGCTTGTTGCCTGCATAATTTTGTTATAAAGTCATATACGTACGGGATCTTGAATGCCATGTGCAAATCGCGCACCGGTTTGCGCCTTGGAAATTTGCCAATGGTACGGAGAACCTGGTTTTGCAGGCGCTGCAATTTCACTAGATAGGTGTCAGCCACAAACTCCCAGGCGGTACCAGCATAAGTCATTACGGATCTAATAAGAGCTTTATGGAGGGTTAGTTTAATGTTAGCGCTCAGTCGCTCATTTTTGAATAGGGAATATACTCTAATGAATGTTATGAAGGCCTTGGCTTCGATCATTTCTATGTGTAATCTTCAAGTCACTCTCTTATCGAGAATTACACCTAGATATTTTACACTATTTACAAAGGGAATATTTCTTCCATTTAGAGTAGGACAAGACTCAGGCGGTCGACGAATACAAGAGAAGTAGACCCCCCCCGAGTCTTATCTTCATTCATTTTTATATTCCAGCGCTCACACCAGGTCTCCATTGAGCTGCGACCGCGCTGGAGTTTTCTAACAATAAAATGCAAGCATTTCACTTGGCTTTGATATTTCGCCTTCAACCGAGACCCTGAATTTACGTTTAGATATAAATGACCCAATAAGCTTGGTCAAAGAGTTGGGGAATTCCAATTTTGATAATTTAAACAGCAAGCCTGAGTGCCACGTGGTATCAAAGGCTTTTTCGATGTCCAAGAACACTGCAGCCGTAGACATTTTATTGTTGAAATTAAGGGTCACGTGGTCCGCCAGCCTCATACATTGCAATGTCGTGCTGTGACGTGCACGAAAACCAAACTGACTTGCGTTGAGCAGGTCTCTTTCTTCAATATGTTTACGGAGGAATTTCAAAATTACTTTTTCGAATAGTTTTCCTGTCGTGGACAGGAGGCTGATCGGACGTAAAT